CCACGTCACGAAATTTGACTTCGACCCCATCTCCGTCTTGGACAAATAGATCGGGCGCAGTGGCTTTCAAGGTGCTCTGATATCCGTCGAGAGCACTGAAGTTCATCCCCGTCCCTCCCGGCCCAAGGTTGCTGGGATACTCGTCCCGCGTATCGTACAATTTGCTAATGTCCACGGGGAGCGGCATTGCGCAGAGGAACTGACAGATGTTGGACCGACTGGGAGGACGGAGGAGGCAGGATGGGATAAAAGATTCCTCCCTCGCAAGCAAAAAGGCCTCGGCGGCCACCAAGCCACATGGCTGTATCAGGATCCGCGTCGCGAATGGGCAGGGATTTCTCCCAGGTCCGCATCATAACGTGGACACGGGTACCGAAAGTACTGTACCAACCAAAAAGAGCGTGTGCGTTTGCTGCGGATCTTTTTATTATTTTCAACGTCTCATGTGGCTCAATTGGGCGCGTGGCTCGAATGTTTGATGAACACAACTTGTCGCCCAGTTGATTATTGGCTATCAAGTCCTTTCACCGAGTCTGTTCCCCGCGCCGACGTGCAGGCGCAGTTCCGAGCCCGGTTACACATTGTCACCTGCGAACTTCGTGCCGTCCCGCAAGGCTCTCAGAGCCTTGCCCATTCCACTGTTAGCCCAACGCTAGGCAACCCCGCGCCGTCGGGGCCTCTCAGGCGACAGCGAGGGGCTGCGGTCGTCTTTCTTGTTTCGCAGTTTTGAAATCTCGCGCTCATGGTCCTGTCCGCAACCAAAATTCCAAGTCAGATCGATTCCTTGTTTCTTCCGGGCCAGGCTTTTCGCACTTACCGAAGTCAGGCCGGGATGTGGCAGTTCAAACACGTAGTTGTCATCCTCCTTGATGTCCAGCTTGTCTCAGCACAAGAGTTCCGCTCCCTAGCAGAAGGAAAACGACGAGACCCAACTCACCACGTGTCGCTTGAAGGTTTCGCCCGGCCAGTTCTCCTCAAGGTATGCCTGGAGCTTCTCCCAAGGCAGGAGATAGGTTGGAAAGCTATATGGTTCCTTCCGCGGAGCCGATGCGCTGCTGGCTTGAGATGACTGCGATCGGAACGAGGCCCAAGTTTTGGTCTTCCGTGTGTGGGACCGCGCTGATCTGTCCGACTCGGCAGTCCGGGTGCGCCGTTGCGAAAATCGACTGGGATTTGGATCTACCGGGGATTGGGGGCTTCCGTTACTCGACATTGTGGATACCCAAAGTCGGCAATCGCAATGAGGCTTTCTCAAGTCCCTGAGAACGGTTGCCTCGCAATTGTGGTGGGACACCGGGCCATATATGCCTCTCTGCCACGGGGCGCGGCTCATCGCCTTACCAAGCGACCCGGACGACGGACCTGTTGCTGCCTTCGATGACAGCAAACCAGAGCCCAGCGGATGAGAACGCTCGACAGTCGCCGCCTCGTTTTAGAAGCCAATGCTGCCGAGTTCCGCCGACGAATCAACGCCGGGCTCTCATGCATGGAAGCAGTGGACGACTCGGCTGTGCCAAGCCCAACTCCGATTCAATGCAGGCGGGGCAGTCGGCAATTCGTCTCCACTCACGGACAAGAGTGGAGAACCGGGTCCTAACACACCGGCGATCCACCTGCGCCGTTGTCTTGGCTTCGGGGCGGATCTGGAATTCATCAGTTGGCAAAAAGCCAGCCACAGCATGTGCCTGTCATGATCTTGAAGACAATCACGCATTGGAAAGTACATTCGGACAATTTGCAAAAGCCTAGAAGCACTCTTGGCACTGTCGATACCTTGAACCGCCACTTTACCAGGCCTTTTTGCGTCCCTTCGCCTTTCAATATGGCAATTTAGGCCGAAAGAGATGGAGCTGATTTGTAACCAGATCGCTGTGACAGTTTGGTAACAGGCTTGTTTTCATCAAAACGCCACTTTTTTCACTGAACAGAGCGAGCTTGCGCCGTACGTAACGCAGCTATGGCCGCCTCTAATGTGCTTCTTCCGTAATTATGAGTTATTCCTGTTAATATAACAGTTATATTACGAATTCTCAAAGTAATTGCTTTCGTGATAGCTTGATAGACATTGTTTTTTGTTCTTCGGACTTAGATTTCTTCCAAGTTTATCAGGCTGCTTCTGTGAGTTTGACTTGGTCCTCACTTATCGGTATAGCTCAGACTCACTCCAACTTCTCATAGCCTAGTACGAAATTAGTTCTAATCATCAAGTGCACCTAGGCAAATCTTAAACTAGGTGAAATGTACATAAGTAGCCCGCCTATATGAAGGATGGCCACCTTGCTAACTCTACCTATTCTTCCTTCTCATCCGTCTTCAACAACGCATCGAGCCCCCTTGTTACCAACCAGGAGGACAACAGCCCATGCAACCATTTTCCAGCAGCGCTTTCCAACAGGACTTTCCTCTCATCTTTCTCTCTCCACATCCAGGTTTCATTTACAAACACAACCCCATCGCGACCAGCGGTCTCCATTCCCACCACCACGACGCCTTGCACCACCGGCCCTTGATACCCAGCCGGTGCGTCCATCACTAGCTCCACACGTTCTTCCTCCCCCCCGCACCTGCCCCGATGCGCGACCCTCCAGAACCCATTAACCCGATCGCCCTCGTTGAAATCGAGGGTTTGGATCCACTCACGCTGAAATGTCCGCCGGGTATCCCCGTCGTCTCGTGGGAGCATACGCTTCAGTAGGAAGACCTGCGGCGTGCCGCTGAACGCCGTCATAGTGGCGCGGATATACCTCGTAAGCAGCCAGCCCGGCGATGGACCCGATATCAGCTCGCACCGCCGTACCGGACGGGATGCGACCCGTTCGTAGGCGACGATCCAGTTTCCATTCTCGGGCAGAGTCGCAACTTCGGATAGGAGACTCTTTGGTTTCCGGACGTCGGGAGGGATATCTTGGAGAGTAAAGAGCTTGGTGGTCTCGGTGGTAACAAGTTTCGAGACGCTATTGTAGAGTCGAAAGAGGTCTGCAGCCGTGACAATCGCCAGTGTTGTGATGAAACCGGCAATCAAGCGGAGAAATTGCCAGATCATGATGACTCGTTCGGCGTGACGACAGTTAAGCGTCTCCTTTGTCTCTGCAGTTCTTGGCGTGGAGGTATTCGCAATGCGCGGAGAAGAAGAGAATACCGTCCTCGGCGTAAGCATCGGACCAATTCTCTAGCTTGACTCACCAGGATCTGCATGCGGCCAAGCACGATACTGTGTTTCCCCAAGGGATCCTACCGTGCTGGGCCCCGCATCGGTACTTTGTATATCAGGTCACCCGCAAGATGTCACGGAATCTTGTTCATGAGCCGGTCGAACAACAAACTGCCTGGTCCCAAACAGCCCGTCGACAAAACGTTCCCACTAATTCCCTTTCCTACACATTCCAGTCCCTCATCAGAACTGAATCCGTTAAACCATGGAGAAACTCGATGCGATTCTGGCCAAGTATGTAGCCACAGACGAGGACACAACCGACAAACTCCTCGGCGCTGTCTTCATCGTCTGCGACAGCCAGAAAATCCTGTACCAAGGCTCCGCCGGCCGCACCGACCTCTCCCCGTCCTCACCCCCGTTCACGATCGACACATGGACCTGGGCCGCCTCCATGTCCAAAGTCGTAACCATCACGGGCGTCATGTCCCTCGTCGAGCAGGGCATCCTGAATCTAGACGCCGACATGCGCCCCGTTGTCCCCGAACTCGGCAAGCTCCCGATCCTGCGCGGCTTCGACGACGACGGACAACCCATCCTGGAAGAAAACAAAGACCCCATCACACTCCGGTAACTATTGCCCACCGTCCATCCCCGGATCCCTTAACTATCACACAACAAAACAGCACCTAATCAAAAATAGCCACCTCCTCACCCACGGCGCCGGCATCGGCACCGACCTCGCCGACCCCGACCTACAGCGCTGGTCCCGCGCGGTCGGCCGCACCGCCACCTGCACAGACTACACCCTCGAAGGCTGGTCCGTCCCGCTCCGCTTCCCCCCCGGACAGGGCTGGTACTACGGCGGGGGCACCGAATTCGCCGGCGCAGCGGTGGAGCGCATCACGGGCCGCAGACTGGACCAGGTCATGGCTGACGCCGTCTTGGGCCCGCTCGACATGGCCGATACGACCTTCTTCCGCGACGCGCCGGAGATCCGATCACGCGTGGCCGGTCGGACGGCGCCGTGCGCGCTTCGGGATCCACAGACTCGCGCGTTGAGTAGTGTGCTGCCCGAGCTGGCGCCGGTCCCTTCTGATCCAGAGATTCTTAGTCTGGGGAGTGGGTTGTATACCACGGCCGCGGACCATATCAAGGTCCTAAGGGGTCTGTTGCGGTCGAGTGGTGGTCTGGGTGGTGGTGGACTGCTAAAAAAGGAGACGGTGGATGAGATGTTCCGGCCGCAGTTGAGCGAGGCGCAGAGGGCCGTGCTGCAGAGCGTCACCGGCGCGTTTCATGATGCGATGGTTCCCGAGTTTGAGGCGGATATGCCGCTTGATCATGGGATGGCTGGGGTGATTAATCTAAGGGATGCACCGGGGAAGAGGAGGAGGGGGAGTATGATGTGGCAGGGCATGGCTAATGGGCACTGGTGGGTTGATCGGGAGACGGGGATTGCTGCGACGTTGTTTGTGAGTGTGATGCCGTTGCCGGATCCGGTTGTGGTTCGGCTGTATGATGAGCTGGAGAGGGCTGTGTATGGGGATTTGCTGCGGACTGGGTAGGTAGTTTAAGCTCTGTGCTGTTTTGTACCTCATGAGACGAGAACTTCTACTAACTGACAATTCGTCCAGGACTGTCTCCCAAGTTTAGCACACTCAACACCTGCTATGTTTTCACGATACTCATGAAAGTGCATTATTCTGTTTCTAACCGCAACGGATTTGTAGACTCTTGCGTTTAGCACATTTCTGGGTTCCTATTTGTATGCTGGTAGTGAAAACATATGGGTGTCTGAAGCGGAGTCCGGGGCATAAATACAGATCTTTACGCTGGGTAGTATATGCAAGCCCGCTTGGCTCAGTGGTAGAGCGCATCACTAGTAAATCTTAATCATCCTTAACTCTGAGTTTCAGAGGTTACTGGGTTTATGATGAGGTCATCAGTTCGATTCTGATAGTGGGCAATGTGATATACGATTCTTTGGGCCCTCAACACACATCTTTGATGTTGATATTCGACATCCTTTTTGCTGCTGATGTCGGAAAGCTCATTTAGGCGGACGGAAGTACATTTTTGTCGCCGGTATCTTAACGGCCGGACGAAAACGGGCACTCGATGTGAAAAGTCGGCAGGGTTTTTCTGCCTCGTCGAAGAACACACAAACGCGAGAAATTCAGAGAAGATTTCACTGCATCTTGATTGACCTGGGGTTCGGTTGAGCTGAAATCTGATATTACTCTCTAAAGTTTTGATCCAAGCGCCTGCCCAATAGTTTCTGCCTTGAGACAAGAATTTCTATCGCGAGACATTACATAAATCCCGTTTTTCTTCTTACAAGCTGCATCTCCAAGCTATCCATCCAACCATGTTGAAATACTTAATCACCCGTCAGGTCGATTACGACTCCTCCTTTGGCTGAGGATGGGATCCTCGGTTGCGGGATTCGCCTTGGTTGTTGTATGGGCGTGAGAGCCTCCGGAACAGGGTTTGCGGGCGAAGTAGCAGCAGCGATACTCTGATCCTTCCGCGGTCGGCCGCGAGTACGTTTTGGTGTATTAGCTGAGTCAAGGTCACCCGACTTGCGCTTCTTGGCCGGCGCCTCCTTATCCGAGAGCCGCTGCTTCCACTTTCGCGCTGCAGCCGGTGCGCCGTACTCCACGATCCACTCCGGGATCCATTCCAGATATGGCTCCTTAGGATTAAAAACCTTCTTCATATTCGCCGGCTTGAAGTCGGCGCGATACTCCTCCTGATCCATGTCGTACGGCACAGCCCGGGACGGTAAAAACATAACGCGCAGTTGGTTCTCCTTTTGGAGAGTGATGTCCTGGATCATATCTGACCCGTCTGTCCCTTTGGCGCCGTGGGAGAGCAGGTTCCGGACTAGCAGCGGAAAGGCCAATGTGCGGACGAACTTGCCGGCAAACATTTTATAACGCCAGTCGAAGAACTCGGCAGTGAACTGGCGGAGCTCGGAGACGGGGATAGGCTGGTCCCACTCGACAGTTATCAGGCCACCGTCCATCTTGGAGACTAGTGGTCTTAGATAGTAGTTTGCGAGCGTCCTGCTTGGGAATGTATCGATTTTGACCCTGGAGATGGACGCTGCAACGCTCGGCCACCTGGTCTTCAGCTCACCAGCCAGTTTTTGTTTCCACCCGGCCAAGCTCTCATCCGAGTGCATGCCTATGATAAGCGCTTCAAGCTGCTTCCCAAACCAGCCCCGGGCCGCCGCGAGGGCAGCCGGGGGGCCACAGCCGGGGAGACCGCCATCATAATCCCCCCCTGCCATCATGGCGAGGAGAAACATATCTGGCCGTCGCAACGGCGGCATGGCAGCTTCCAGGTCTTGCATTCGGTACTGCTCAACGACAACACCAACTTGAACATTGTTGTCCTTCTTGGACAGCTTCTTGAGGACCACGCGGCTGCCAAAGACGAAGGCATCGCCATCGCATGTCATGACCGCGTCCACAACACCAGCTTTTTCTAGCGCGGCACACTCGGCCTCGGCCTCTCCGGGTGCGTCGCGATAGGGTAGGCCGAGGTGCTTGAGAAGGCTGTGGCACAGCGGGATGGCATGGCTGAGCTTGAACTCGCAGTCGGAGTCGCTTTGAAGTCTTGGAACCGGAGGCCCGGGCTGTGTAATCAACCCGCGCTCTACGAGGCCAACAACATGGCTGCATGGCTGCGTGTAGACGTCGCAGTCCGAGTCACCGTCGCGCTTCTTGTTGCGCTTCTCATCGCGCTTCTTGGGGGGTTTACCGGGCCCGTCAAACACGAAGATGGGTTGCACACCCGAGGCGAGGACGTCGAGGATGTGCTGGTAAAAGGTTCTGACGCTGTGGTTCATTCCGTGCATCATCACAGCCTGGGACTTGATTTGGGCTTCTTCCCGGGCATTGTCCAAGGAATTTTTCGTGGCCGCTGTGATTGGAAAAAGAAGTGTCGGCGTGTCGACTGCGATTCGCAGTGGCCTGCCCTTCTCGCGGAAGCATTCAGCCCCCAGGTCGGCCAGCGTCACGGTGCGGCAGGCCTTGGTCTCCTTGACAGCTTCCCATAGTCTGGTTGATGTTAGTGTCAGATGCCCCTTAAGTTGCGCCTGTATGCCCACCCGTTGATCCCCATGATGGCTCAGTCGACAGTTGCAGTGAAGAAATCGCGAGTTGGAGATGGGAGGTTGTCTATTTTCTTACCCATCTCTCCAAACGCATCAAGTGGACGCGGTGCCGATCTCTTTCGCGGTGATTTGGAGCCCACCCCCCCTGCTGCATGAGTGGCAACCTATTGGACCGTCAGGATCCAATGTGGCTGGTACTTACTTACTATGTAAGCGAGAGGTATTTGTGGGTCTGACAAGGGGGTGGGCTCCAAATCACCGCGAAAGAGATGACAACCTTGTCGTGGCTTGTTGAACTTTCTTTTTCTGTTTGCATCAGAACTTTAACTCCGACTTGATCAAACGGGCCAGATCCACAGCTAACCCCAACCCGAGACAATCTCGGATGCTGCCGGTGCCAAGCATCCCAAGCGACCATCAACGACTCCTTACTAAGTTCCCATCACCCCACCAAGACCTCACTCACATCATGCCCTCGATTCAGCCACCACCTCTCATCCTACGCGCCTCATCCAGACCACGCTACCCTCTACAGACTTTGACTCGACGGTGTTTTGCAACATCAACAGGGCCAGCAGCATATTCCGCAAGTTCCGTGAGCTCCGTCTGCCCCGCGTTCACCAGACCCCACCTCGTCTGCGGCCGCGGAAGCAGCACCGGGAGCAAGCGATTTTTCTCGCGCACCCTCACTCATCAGAGCTGGACTCAACCGGCGACTCACCATCGCAACACCTCCCACAGCAGTCTTACCGGGAAGAGTATCAGTAACATCGGCCGACCTCCTCACAGAACTCACTCCCCCGCTCGCACCATGTCGTCATCATCATCCTCAACCAAAGACCAAGCCGCGCTGGTCGAGAGCTCAAAACGCGCAGCCGCCTTCCAGGCCGTCGCCGACCACCTCCTACCCTCGTACACCCGCATCGGCGTCGGCTCCGGCAGCACGGTAGTCTACGTAGTCGAAGCCATCGCCGCCCTCGGCCCCTCGGTCACGGACTCCATGACCTTCTACCCCACGGGCGCGCAGTCGGAAGCCCTGATCGAAGCGGCGAACCTGCGGCTGCAGTACATCAACAAGCTCGCGCCCGCCGACCAGCTCGACGTGGCCTTCGACGGCGCCGACGAGGTCGACGCCGACCTCAACCTGATCAAGGGCGGCGGCGCGTGCCTCTGGCAGGAGAAAGTCGTCGCCACGGCGGCGCGCAACTTCGTCTGCGTCGCCGACTTCCGCAAGCTCTCGGACCGCCTCGGCAAGGCCTGGAAGAAGGGCATCCCGATCGAGGTGCTCCCCATCGCGGCGCCGCGCGTGCTCGGCGAGCTGCGGGCCATGGGGGCGCGCGACCCCCAGATCCGCTCCGGGCTCCCGGGCAAGGCCGGCGCGCTCGTCACCGACAATGGCATGTGGATCATCGACGCGCCGTTTGCCCCGCTCAGGCTGCCGTCGGACGAAGGCGAGGCGGCCGAGGGAGAGTGGACGGTGGATGCCCTCGCCGACCGGCTCATCAAGATCCCTGGCGTCGCCGAGATCGGCCTGTTCTCCGGAAAGAATGGGCTCGAGGTCGCGAGCGGCGCGCAGAAGCCCGTGGCGGCGTACTTTGGCATGGCCGATGGCACGGTCGAGGTCAGGAAGGCGGCGGCGGCGGCGAGCTAGAGCTTGCGCACCGGGGGCAATGCTATTCCCGGGTGTCGGGAACGGGTAAACTGGGCATTACGTAGACGCTTAGACGGAAGGGATGCGGAAACAAAGACAAGACCGAAAAAAATGGAACCAATAATTTGTGACCTTGATGACCTCCGGCGGGTTCCGGTGGTCAGCCGGATGCCATCTCCGGTCGGAATCGGCCTCTTCGCCCAATCCGCATCGGCAAGTATGATGACTCATTCACATTGCACGGTGGTGGCTTTCTTGCGTCACTGTCCTGTCCGCCATCAGCACGGCGTCAGGCTGATGTGTGTCCGTCGCCGGCCGGCGCACACAGAAATTTGGTGCTGACGTCGGTGGTACGTCTCGGCAGGGCCTCCGGCTGGCTCCTGCTTTTCTGCAACGCTTGTCTAGCCCGCAGCCGGCATTCCGAGCGGCCCAAAGTCTAATAAACCACTAGACTAAGCTCGACCAAAAGTTTGTTGGCCGAAAGAGTGGTCCGTGTTTTGCAAGAACCAGACCAGACCCGTCACACTGGGCTGCTGGCCGGAGGGGCGACCGCTCCGAGACCACATGGTTGGAACGAGCGCCCTTGCGGGCCGGAGACCAGGTGCGAGTCGGCTGTTTGGGCCCTGGTTCCCTGTCGCGGCAGCGACATCATCTGGGTCGAGGAGAAATCTCTCAAATCATTTTGGGGGCCGTGCATTCTGTGTGTGCCCCTCTTCTGGCCCCCGAAACCCGACGGGAATTTCTCGTCCGGAGGCTGTCTAGACGAAATGGAGAAATTCGCTCGGAGTCTCCCATTTCATCCCCCGTGTGGGTAGCAAAAGTTGCCGGACCGGACGGGATAGACAGCCAGGCCCACCGAGATTGAGTTTGCCTGCTCACCTTGTCCGTCCGTAGCCTTGATTGGCGACATTTTTAGCGGCCGGCCATGCATCTCCGTCGCCTCCGTCGCATTTTCTCTGAAGCGAGCGAAGCCAGCCGCAGAGGCCGCAGATGGCGGAGGCGCTGATGAGGTGAGGAGAGAGACAAGAGAGAGATGCACAAGGAGGGTCTCATGGTGGCCGCCCAGTCACAAGGGGCGGAAGCCCCAGCCGCCGAGTCCGTCTCGGCTTTGCGTCTGTTGGCCTTGTGCGTCCTGAGCCCTTCGGAACCTCGGCGCTGAATGCTGATGAGAGGTCGATCGCGGACCAGAAGC